GACCGCCAACTCTTGCTTCCCCCTGTTCTGCTTGTACCCGTATTCATGGAGGAGAGAGTCGAGGCAATCGCTGGAGTGCTGCATTTTGGCCAGGAAGGTCCCCATGGAGTCCCCGAGGGCTATGAGGGTGTAGCGGAAGAGGTCATCAGCATACTTAAAGAGACCGAGGTCGACCTCCTGGCCGTCCCATTCCGCACGGAGAAGCAATAGCGTAGGGTCAAACTCGCGCAGTGCAGCTGTCCATCCTTGTACAGGTCGACAAATTGTCGTTGAGAAGGCTGCAACCCTGAACGGGTCGCCCATCACACCTCCAACTCCCGTCTTGACCGCTAGTTCTCCCTCGCCACTAGGTAGTAGAACGAGTGCATCACGAAATCTGTTCTTAGTTCTTAGAAAGCGCAGCATTTTCAGGCTTGACTAGCATTGACATCGTAGTGTCCGTAGCCTCCCAACTCGAACTTCCAAATGCATGACTCATATCTTTCAAGCTAGCTCCAAAACTCCACCCAGCCTTCCGAAGCCTCCAGCCCACCACCTGAGACGCGAGAATAGCCCCCTCCCGACGACGATGACGTTGAAAACCGTAATCTTCAGGGGCCAGTTCGTTCGGTAGCAGGCCTGCGAAACAAATATTTCCCCACGACAGGAAGAACATGGACGACGCGTTTGCCTCTGGGCCCAGGCTAGGTCGACTTATGCAGAGCACACCCTTTACTTACACTCCAATACAGCGGGGTCAGATCCGAGATCCTAATCTTCATCATGCCATCCTTCAGGGTCTTGAGAAACTGCAAGGGCTCTTCAGGTGCCTGAGGGGCTCCCAGTCCTGGACGTCGGTGCTGCATTCCACGTTCAGGGTGGAGGAGTTGCCACCAGAGCTCGAGAGGGGCCGATCCTTCAGGAACCACTCTGCATTCAGGTGCACGTCGGACAATTTACGAAGTCGAGTGATGTCACTGTAAGCTAGTTTTTCGGGGCGATCGTCATATCGGGCAATATCGTAGATCTGGCTGAGATCGAGGTCGTTTCGAGTATTCCTCCATTCACTTAGGTCAATCTGTCGTACCTGCATGCCCCCGTCACCTCCATGCAAGGACCAAACGTCCAGCCATTCTGATGGTGAAATTAGTGTCCCTCCGAATCGTCGTCCGTTTCGTTTCTTGCAGAAAAAGGCATCGAGCGGTCCGCCGAGCCCATCCCATGGCCTCGCACAAGTTCCGTTGGGCCCAGGCTTCGTAGGATGCTTGTACGTAGGACTCGCGAACAGCACGTACGTATCTCTGGCGAGTGAGTCGAAGACGTTGAGACAGATCCTTCAGCTCCTGCTCCACCTGGTCCAAATCAGGCGTGTGGACTCGAGAAGCTCGTAACTCGATCCGCTTCTTGAGGAGGGTCCTGCGCAGCTCCGCCCAATGGGCGTACTCGTCAGGGAAGTCGGGTGATTTCGTGAAGTACTCAGCCCCAACTTCGACCAGGCAGCGCTCCAGCAGTTCGAAGGTGTGGTCAGGAGCATCCTGATCATGAGCTATGGTGATCTCCTCCGAATGCGCCTCGAGCCAAGCCGTCACGCCATTCACGAAGTCAATGCGCTGCTCGCCCTGCCTGACCGCCGCCACGAGCGCAGGCATGTCCCGCACTCATGGGGTCCACGAGGATGCAAGAACTCAAGATAAGCAGGAACATGATCTCGCGGAGGCCTTTGAGTGCCTGCAGTTGCGAGCCCAGGCGTTGTAATGCATGACACTTCGTGGCCCGTGAGGACCAGCCCTGTGGAAGAAACACAAAGTCAATAAGGCTACACGAACCCTCAGGCCCGTTCCCATAGAAAATCGATTCGTAGTTGCCGACGGTGTTGGCGGCGTACATGTCTTGCTGCGTCAAACGGTCGGCCACCATGTCTCATGCGCCATGCCGTCTCCGTTCCCGCGTGCGCACGTTGCCCACAATGCCGTTCTCGTACTCTTGCCAGGTGCCCTCAATCTTGCGGCAGCCGAGGCAGTCGTTGAGGTCGGCGAAAAAAACGGGCAGGTAACGAACAGGAAGCTGAGACAGGCAGGTGCGCCACCACTCCACCATCTTGGCCACGGTCTTAGTGTACTGCGGGCCACCTCCTCGGTCGTGCGGTTGTGGCAGAAAATAAGGAGTACCAACACAGACGTCCACCACGCCGCGGCGAACGCGGGCAGCCACACAGCGGCCTCCGAGATCAGGTGGGCTGGGAAAGACTCGCCGAACATGATGGTCGCGATACCCTCGACCAAGTATGATGGAAGTGCCAGCGCTCGAGTTGGTATAACATCCTGGTGAAACTGCCGCCTCCAAAACCAGTCGACCGCCGATCCTCCGTTGGAGGACGCTCTGAGCCTCACGGCAGACGTTCTGGGTGCCAGACAAGACCGTGAAATCCATGTTCCGCGTGCACTGTATGATCTCCGAGAGGCGGTCCCCCGTAGCGCGCAGTGGGTTCCAGGCCCAGCACCCTCAGCTTCGACATGGTCGGCGGTCACCTCGTCAGTAAGTGTCGACCACGCGGTCGAGGCGCCATGATGCAGTGTGAATCAGCACGCTCGGGCCCCGCCTGCTCGAATCTTTCGAGCCCAGGGGCTGGACGAGGACGAGGAGGAATGGGAGGAGGAGGAGGAGGAGGAGGAGGAGGAGGAGGAGGATGAGGAGGAGGAGGACGAGGAGGAGGAGGAGGAGATGGAGGTGGAGGTGGAGGTGGAGGTTCAGGAGGAGTGAGGAGGGAAGAGCGTCCCATTCTATTATCAACATTTCCCTGGCGTGGCGTTTAGCCGTCCGCAGCAGATGCTCATTTACATGCTCCTTCTACCTGTCCTGTGCACGCATGTGCTGTGGTGTGCACCAGGACTGCGTTGCACGCGGATGTTGTGCTGTAGACAAGCGCTGTGGTGTGCACAGGCGATGCGGTGCATGCAAGCATTGTGGTGTACGCATGCGCTGTGTTTCACGTGGTTGCTGCGGTGTACAAATTCGCTGTGGTGTACACCAGCGCGGTGGTGCACGCAAACATTGTGGTGTACACTGGCGCTGCGTTGCATACGGCTGTTGCGGTGTACGCAGGCGCCTGCGGTGTGCACGCGTGCTGTGGTGCACGCGAGCATTGTGGTGTACACAGGCGTTGTGGGGCAGATCGCCACCTACATGCTGCTCCCAGTTGGCCTTGGTCATCCCGAGGTATTCCTGGACGCCGCCAGCGCGGAACGTGACGTCATCTAGGGGGGGGAGGGCGGGGCAGATAACGGCCGCTATCCCGGAAAATAAAAAAAAACATGCTCTTGTGGTGCCGGAGCCACATGGGGTGGGGTGGGGGGCGTTACGTCATACTTCCCCCCCCTCTATAACGCCCATTGTCGCCGAAAATATAGACACGCGCTCCAAGAACCATCGGGGGAGCACTGCAGGGCGATCTTCCACGGCTGTCAGTGTGGGGGTCCCATGCGGCATCTTGGGACCTCTTTGGGTCTCGTTGGGCCATCCCAGCCGCTTCTTGGGGCCCTCTTAGTTGGGGCCCTTTTTTCGGAGCCTCTGAGGGGCCTCTGGGGCCACCCTCGGGAGACCGACATGTTGAACAATTTTTTCCAACAATCCTGTGGTGTTGGGTCCTCGTTTTGAAGAGACAGCGCCCCGCATCCACTCCTTCCTTCCTCCCGCTGCCCCCTCCCGCCTCCTATTCCGCGTCCTCATCGTCATCGTCATTATCATCGTCATCACCGTCGTCATCATCGTGGCCATCGCCATCATCCACATTATCATCATCATTATCATCATCATCGCCATCATCATCATCATCATCATCATCATCATCATCATCATCATCATCATCATCATTATCATCATCATCATAATCATCATGATCACCATCATCATCAACACCATCATCATCAACATCACCATCACCATCACTCACCATCACCATCACCATCACCATCACCATCACCATCACCATCATCATCATCATCATCATCATCATCATCATCATCATCCACTTCATCATCATCATCATCCTCATCCTCATCATCAACACCATCATCATCATCATCATCATCATCATCATCATCATCATCATCATCATCATCATCATCATCATCATCGCCATCGTCAGCATCGTGCCTCTGCTCTCCGCATGTACACCATTCCGGCACACCCCTCACACGGTTCGTGGCCCCATAGGGAGCTCCACCGAAGGTCCCAGTGGCAGGGTCCGCATGCGCCCCCCCGCACATTTCGGCACACCCCTCACACGGTTCGTGGCCCCACAAGGAGCCTCACCGAAGGCCCCAGTGGGAGGGTCCGCATGAGTTTTCCCGCGCATTTCAGCTTACCCTCACACGCTGGTTGGCTCCACAGGGGGCTCCACCGAAGGTCCCACTGGCAGGGTCCGCATGCGTCCTTCCGCCCATTTTGGCACACCCCTCACACGCTTCGTGGCCCCATATTGGGGCTCCACCGAGAGACCCAATGGCAGGGTCCGCATGCCAATGCGTCTGGGGCGCTCTGGCGCCACCCGAGACGCTGCCAGATGGTCTGAAGACGCGCCATGGACTGGCATGGCATTTCTCAGCCTACAGGCCCACAGGGGGGGGCAGCGGATACTCTGTTACACTCAACTGATAATAAGTGGGCACGGATTTCACCTGCGTCCCAAGTCTTAAGTGTTAGGGAGCGTGAAATGTTGTACAGCAGACCGCTTCCATGTTCATTCTGCGCGAATGAGGATCCTCCTCCACCTCCTCCTCCTCCTCCTCATCCTCTTCGTCATCCTTCCAAGCCCCCCTTCTATTTCTTGATTTTGATGCCATGGGCTGCTCAGTTTCCCCGTTGCTACCTGTTCTGCTCTCCCCGTACTCTTCTATCTTGCCCCTCACCACTTTCTTGCAGCAGTTGCACAATGTACCGCCATCGTCCTCAGAACAGGTTCGAGTGCCTTATGTGATCTTGCGGATCGATGCCATGAGGCCCTCCCTCTCCCCTCCGTGCTGAGGCTGGTTCTCGCTGACGGACGGCTCGGCATTGGGGCTGCTTCAGCTCACGAGGGAAGAGATCCATGGCACCAGGAGGAACATGGCCGATCCTCTGGGAGTGATGCGGCCTCTCTTCGGGATAACTGGTGGGGGCAGACACCACTTCTCTGAATTCGGCTTGCCTGACAGGATTCTTCTGGTTGAATGGCCTTTTCGAGCTTCTGGTAGCCTCTCGAAGGGGCTGTCTGAGTACAGGGCGAGTTTCAATCTATGTTCCGATGAGGCAGCCAGTGCTGCTTCCCCAGCCCAGGGCCAGGGTGGGTGGGCGGGTGGGTGGGTGGGTGCCCGTGGCTTGAGCTATGCTTTGTGCGGGATGGTCTCACAGCGATGCACACTTCTGGCTCGTACATCGTGCTCAGCGTGCGTGCATATGGGCAGCAGTAACGGTCTCGATGTTGGACCTGTCCTCGGCGCGCCCAGGAGGAGGAGGAGGGGGGCCACGTCGGCCAGGGGAGGAGGAGGAGGAGGAGGAGGAGGAGGAGGAGGAGGACGAGGAGGAGGAGGAGGGAGGAGGAGGAGGCGCCGGCGGAAAGTTCGGTCGATTGGCATCCTGGGGGGTGCCGCGGTCGGCCCTCTCTGGGGAGCGCGCCGCTCTCGGCCAGATCCGTGGCCCCGCATGGGGCCCCAGGGCGTCGCCTTTCCCGCCGTCGCCTCTGCCGACAGCGCCGGCACCAAGCATTTGGGCCCGGTGCCCCAGGCGTGCAGGAGCCATGTGTGTATAGGCGCGTGCTTGCGACGCGCACGTGCATCCATATACGACGCGCGTGGCCCGCTGCTCTGGCCGTGTGAGCCATCTGTGTATGTGTGCGTTCCGTAGCGTAGTCTGGCTCAAGGCCGCTCTGGCTCCCAGCTAGTTTTTTTTTTTTTTTTTTTTTTTTTGTTTTTTGTTTTTTTTTTTCTGTAGTTTTCTTTTCTACCCTTTTTTCCTTTTCCTTCCCCTCCCCCCCCCGAGATAGTGTTGTTTTTAGATGTCGGGTTACGCAAATCCCCCCCAGACGCCCCAAGCTCCCCCCACCCCCGGCATCCGGGGGGAGAACTTCTAGAACCCAAACCTGGGGACCCGAAACTCCTGAAGAATCCTCCAATTCCGTTTTTTTTTCGGGGGTTCTGGGGCCCTACATTTCAAACAAGATTATTTCTGCGCCCCCCCGGAAAACTCAACTTAAAACAAGACTAATTATAATAACCTCTCAGAAAACATCCGAATCAAAACCCAATCTCGATGGTTTTTCTTTTCGGAGGTTCTCTGGCTAGTCCAGGCTCCAGGATCTTCCGAGGGGGGAAAACCATGAAAAGAAACCAAACTCGGAGGGTTTTCGGGGGTTCTCCCGTCAGCCCAGGCTCCCGGTTTTTCCCGGGGAGGGGGGGGGGCACCTTCGAACAAAAACCCTCGACTCCTAGTTGTTTTGAAGGCTTTTTCGGGGGTTCTGGGGCCCCACAATGAAAACCAATAGTATTTTTGAAAACCTCCTCGGACAAATCCCGAGAAACTCCCGACCTCAGGGTTTTTTCTGTTGTTTTTCGGGGGTTCTCTGGCCAGCCCAGGCTCCAGGATTCTCCAGGGGGGGGGCGGAGGGAGCCCCCCAAAGTCTTCACTGAGTTTTTTTTTTCGGTTGTTTTTCGGGGGTTCTCCTGCCAGCCCCTGTTCCCGGAGTCCCCAGGGGGGAACACCTGAAAAACCTTGCGAATCGTTTTTTTTTCGGTGGTTTGTTTGGGGTTGTGGGGCGCCGCAGTTAAAATCAACACTATTTTTGATCCCCTCCGGAAAACGCCCGAGTGGAGGAGGAGGAGGAGGAGGAGGAGGAGGAGGAGGAGGAGGAGGAGGGGCAAGTGGAAAGAGAGGGACAGGCGAGGAAGGAGCAGGAGGAGGCGTGCAGAATGGCCAATGGCCTCATGGATGCTTTTCTGAGACTCTTCGGATGTGTCTGAACAGTTTCTCTTAGTTCTCTTGGAGCGTCTTGGCGGCCTCTGGGCGGTTCTGGGAGCCTCTCGGCGCGTCTTGGGTGCTGCGGGGGAGCCTCTTGGGGCGTGTTCGGGGTCTCTTGGAAGGCCTCCTGAGTGCCTTTTGGTGGCGGGCATCGGGAGGCATCTTGGGGCCAGCCTGTAGGTGATCGACCAAAAAAGTGGCGAGTAATTTGTTGACGTTTCGCATACCCCCATTAGCCCGTCCAGACACAAAAGGGCGAGAGTAAATCGTTTAGCTTCGCGTATCTCCAGTAGCCCCACGGCCACCCTGGTGCCCACGCAGTCGTCTGAGGTACGGTATCGTGCTTTCTCTCTCGGAGCTGTCCCTGGCCGTCGTTGACTTTCCGACTTTTGGCGCCTCCGACGGACTTGCAGCTTTGCGCGCTGGCAGTTCCCCTCAGTCTCAGTCCCTTCAGCCATCCACCTGCCGATGGGCCGCTGCGTGAGGCCTCGGCCGGCGCGTAGCTGTTGCCTCGCGCGTCGCCTCTGCTTTCATTTTCTCGCGTTTCCTCTGCCTAATTAGTCTCCGCGTAGCCCGCTTTGACCTGACTCGCCGCGGGCACGCTCGCCCGCGGCCGCTGACTAAAAAGTATCGCCAGTAGCCCACCCAGACACGATCGGAGGCCTTCTTGAGGCCCGCCGCCCGCCGCCCGACCGCCGTGTTTCCGTGTTCAGCACAACAGCCAGTACTCAACAACGTCCGTTTCCAATACAAAGCCCAGTACTCAACAGCTTCCGGCTTCAGCAAAACACCCAGTATTCAACAACATCCCGCTGCAGGAGAGAACCCTCAGGAGTTTTATTCAAATCCCGATCCGCCCGCCCGCCGCCCGCCCGCCGCCCGCCTCCCGCCGCTCGCCCGCCGTGCTTCCGTGTTCAACACAGCATCCAGTACTCAACAACGTCCGTCTCCAACACAACACCCAGTACTCAACAGCTCCCCTCTCCAACGCAACGCCCAGTACTCAGCAGCATGCCGCTGCAAGAGAGAGAGAGAGAGAGTCCTTAGGAGGTCTGCTTAGATCCGGATCAGCCCGCCGACCTCCCGCCCCCCCCCGCCGGTTCGCCGTGCTTCCGCGTTCAACAAAACACACTGTACTCAACAGTGTCGGTCTCCAACAAATTATCCCAGTGCGACCCTACCTGGGAGTTGGAACATCTAGGAAACCAACCTCTACATCTACACCGACAGCTACATTTTTATCTACACTTGCATCTGCATCTACATCAACATCAGCATCATCAGCGAGACTCACATCTACATCTACATCTACATCTACATCTACATCTACATCTACATCTACATCTACATCTACATCTACATCTACATCTACATCTACATCTACATCTACATCTACACATCTACATCTACATCTACATCTACATCTACATCTACATCTACATCTACATCTACATCTACATCTACATCTACATCTACATCTACATCTACATCTACATCTACATCTACATCTACATCTACATCTACATCTACATCTACATCTACATCTACATCTACATCTACATCTACATCTACATCTACATCTACATCTACATCTACATCTACATCTACATCTACATCTACATCTACATCTACATCTACATACATCTACATCTACATCTACATCTACATCTACATCTACATCTACATCTACATCTACATCTACATCTACATCTACATCTACATCTACATCTACATCTACATCTACATCTACATCTACATCTACATCTACACCTACAGACATCTACACATTTACATCTACATCTACACTTTCGCATTGGTTTTGCTTTTGCTTTGCATTGCCTTTGCTTTTGCTCTTGCCTTTGCCTTTGCCTTTGCTTTTGCTTTTGTTTGCTGTTGCTTTTGCTTTGCTTTTGTTTTTGCTTTTGCTTTGTTTTGTTTTTGCTGTGCCTGCGCAAAGACATAAACACGCATGTTTTCGCATTCGCTCACCGGGTGTGCTTGAGAATGCTCCGTATCCGGCCTACACCGCACGACTTGGCATTGAACTTACTACACCGAACGTTCCTACGAAATTGTACAGCAGCAACTCCCAGATCGGTGCATCATCGGCGCTGGAATATGCGGTTTCACCAGAGTGGTCTGACCACAACCTCCCCGCTGTCGTGGAGTCGCCTGAGCCACTCTTGGCGCGCAGGGACTCGCAGAGCGGTGCTGAATCAATACATGCACACACGCACACACACATGCAGCATTCCACATGGGTGTGATGTATATGTGCACATAGATCTGCATATATAGAAAGACATTTAGGACATGCGATAATACATCGGGTTTCATGTCTCCCGGCTGGTGCTATGTGCGAAACCTTCGTGAATCCTAAGGGCTCAAGCTGCCCCACTGAGGGCTCAAGATGGCCCACAGACGGACAACATGCATGGAACATACGTGCGCACCACACATATAAATACATACACGCACACATATACACATATTGCAGCAGCAATGGTGGATGCTGTGCTGCGCTATGCTATGCTATGCTCTGCTCTGCTCTGTTATGCTATGCTGTGCTGTGCTATGCTGGGCTGGGCTGGGCTATGCTAAGCTATGCTATGCTATGCTATGCTACGCTATGCTGCGCTATGCTATGCCGCGCTATGATATGCTATGCTGTGCTGTGTTATGCTATGCTATGCTATGCTATGGTATGCTATGCTATGCTATGCTTTTGTTTTGCCTTCGCTTTTGCCTTCACTTTTGCCTTTGCTTGTGCTTTTGCTTGGCACCCAGGGGGCGCAACTGGGGGAACCGCGCGTTTGCTTTTACCTTTGCTGTTGCTTTTGCTTGGCCCCCAGGGGACCGGGGGAACCGCCCGGTGCGATTTCCACTGCCCACCCCTCTAAACGAACCGAGTAAGAACCCGTCCAGGCAGAGCCTAGGTAGGGAAATGCTGGGTACTCAACAGCTCCCGTCTCCAACGCGACACCCAGTACTCAACAGCATCCCGCTGTAAGAGAGGAACAATCCTTAGGAGTTCTGTTCCAATCCCGATCCGTCTGCCCGCCACCCGCCCTGTTGCCGCCGGTCCGCTGCCCGCCCCCCCCGCCGCCAGCCCGCCGTGCTCCCGCGCTC